TCAACTTTTTGGTATTTTCTTGTCTGAATATTTATCTTTAATTTTGTTTAGAGAAGAATAGATTCTGCTGCACAGATTATACATTTAAAAAAAAAACTTCCAAATAAGCTGTTTACAAAACGCACTAACCAAACAGTTAAACTGCTTATTCAGAACAGGGGCAAAATGGTCAATTTTTCACAATCAGTTGTTTTCCATAAGCGCCAACCAAACAGCCAGACAGCTTATCCGGATCAGCTGCTCATCAGCAGATTATCAGGATAAGCTGCTTATCAGCAGAAGCTGGATAAGCTGCAGCTGCCCCAAACAGACCCTAAGTGGAAGGCTTTCTTTACACTATTACCAGAATAGAGGATTCCTTACCTCCGTTAATTTTTAGAGAACCAAACTAAGCTAAATGACATGCACCTATACCTTATTTATTTTTTGCTACTTTTTCGGTTTGCTTATTTGTAATAATTTACATTCCATCATGAATAATAGTTTGTTTGAACTATTATGGATTTTCAATATTTATGGATTTATAGCCTTGTATTGCATTTATTATGCTTCACTAAAGCATTTACCCACTATTTCATCATAACATGTTCTTCTTACACAAGTCTATCATACTTCTTCGAGACAAAAGGACCCACCAAATGAATAGGAGATTATAGAGAAATTTGAAAGAGCAACTGTCATTACCACCACAGTTTGTCTAATTAATGAGTATTACCATAAAAATTTGTGTAAGCCACCTAATGTCATCGTCATATGTGGGGGACACATAGGTTGACAAACTAATGAAGGCTCGTCCAAGCCAGATTCATAGCATGTTCCAGATAGGTTAACTGGATGGGTTGCAGTCCAAATATGATTTGCATGGATTTTCACAATTTACATCGCGAGAAGTTCTAGCCATCACATTTTTCATTATGTCACACAATGAGTTCATTCGTGTTGTTTATAAGTGTTTCCAACACCCTAAGAGACAATCAACGGGTATTTCCATATCGGGGTGAACTCTTTAGCGAAAATTTCTACGTACATTGTCAAACCATTAAACCTAGCTTTTGCACAAACACTTCAAGAAATCCGTAGCAATCTGAGATACTAGTCATTTTTAAGGTATTGATCTCTCTATCTATTGTAACATTTGTACAATAAAGAAAATTTAGAAATGACATATGTTGTAATGCTTCTTTTTTCTAAAAATGATTGCATCAGAGCAATTAACGACATGCATATTAACGCACGTGTTGGCAATGAGGAGATCACAAATATCTAAAGGTGTTGGTTGCTACACAATATATATATAAACAATTCGTGATTTCAACATATTTTACAATCGTGATAGTTGGCTTGAAAGAAAATGCACATGACAACAAAATTTTTAAAATTGCAGCCCAACGGCATGAATACAAATTTTTTATGCCTCCTCAAGGTTAGTATATGTCATCACTAGAATATTTAAATTTTAGAGAATCCACTCATGTTGTCATTATTCAGGAAAATATTACCTAGTCGATTCGGGATATCCATTGCAACGAGATTTTTTGAAGTAATTTCCGACACAATTTTGAGCACAACAACCAAGTGATTAAAAAGAGAAATAAACTCTTCAACAAAAGACACTCGTCATAACCGAGTGTCATCGAGAGAGCATTCGGTGTATAAAAAAAAGTATGTTAAACTCCAAGATATGCCTACGTATTCTTTCAAAAAAAAAAAGGTGAAGATAGTTGGTGCAACAACAACGCTCCATAATTTTATACAGAGGCATCCATCTCAAGATGATATCTATTTCAGTGTCTTAGATGGAGGTCCTACTAGCATGTCTGAGAAATCTAATCAATATCAGGCCGAACATGCAATGAACGAGTACAACACTTTTGAGGGAGATGTCTAGAAGATGATATAGTTTAAGAAAAAGATTATTGATGTTTTGTTGAACTCACTGACATATTTACGCAGTATCATCTACTTATTTGTTATTGATGATTCATATTTTAGCTCTACATTTAATTCCTAGATATAACTTTTATAAATATTTGTAGCGATAGACTGTAGCTTTCGTAATGTGTCCCAACAAACTTTTATTTATATTTCTTGAAGGTTATGCCAACTTAATTTTTGTTAATTGAAACTATAAATAACAGAAAATATGACTTCCTGAGTATTAGTTACTAAAAAAATTTTGCTCTACCATTGTGACGACGTGTGTTCAATAACAATCAAGAAAAACAGACAGCTACGAGAGAGGAATTTACTCGTCCCAGAAAGAGGACTCCTAAATATTATGATGTTGAGTTGATAAAACTGAAAATTTCCCTCCAAATTGTTATCAAGTGAAAAAATATGGTCGCACATAGAGGAGAGTGTACTGAAAACTTAATCATCAAGAAATCAACACATCATTTTAGACTTACTGGTTACTATTGTTGTCCTTATTATTATAATTATATGCTTCAAATAATTGATCATTTTTTATATATTAGAGTATTTTGTATTGTACTGATGTTTATCTCAATAGTATGACATGTTTCTATTATTTAGTTGTAATTATTCTGAAAACGACACTTATAAAAATATATTACATATATAAGACTAAAAACAACAACACAACAAATCTCCATAACAAACTCATGCTTCTTCATTTGCAGCTTTATTATGATAGCTCCTGACAAATTTTTCTCCAAGAAACAACTTTACAACTGCTTTTTAGAAAAACAGTCGCCCCAAACACACCCTACGTCACCGCATCTGTGAGAACAGACAGTAAAATTCAACCAAAAATAAAATACAAAAATCTCGATACAAACATAAAAAAAGTGAAATTTATATACATACCACACAATTCTTATGTATTCTAACACCCAAAGTTCGATATTTATACTCATTAACACCGTGGTATCATAAACCCATGCATGAAAAAGGAGCATCTCACTTTCAGGACAGTAATGGTGATATTCTTGATGTGATGTTAAAGATTTAAATGGCATGCATGTAAATATAAAAGTCTAGGTGTTTGGTATGCAAATACATAAGAATCGTGCGGTATGTATGTAAATGCCCCTAAAAAATCAGAGCACACGTACAGTAAAAAGGACTCAATATCACCTCCCATAATCCAAACATACCATACTATACAGAAAATCAAAATCCAAAAGAAAATAAAGAAAAAAAAAAGCAAATACAAGAAAACAAAACTGTTCTTACAGATGTAAAGAAGAACAAGATTTCCACATAACAGAAGAGAAAACATTCTCCCACCTGAGAAGAACAGATTACCGAATCTGATATTAATGGGAGAAAAAGTGGAGACTGATGAAGAATATGGGTGAAGTTGTCGAAGGATGATCAAAGGCCAACCCACTTAACCCATCTGAAAATTCTCCCCGCTTTAAAAGGGAGCTCATAATCTCTTTGAATGGATGCTTCTCTTCTTGCGGCTTCCGTATCAGACCAAACGTAGACTCCACGTTCATGCCTGCTACCAGGAACAGTGTTGTCCAGAATTACAGCGATGAGAAAGGCGATTATCATGTTTAATGACAAGAGTGTATTCAGAACATAATTTACCTGAAAAAGAATAAAAATGAGGTTGGTGAGGAGTCAGAATTAGATTATTGAGATAAAATATATATGCTGACATGTCATATTAATGTGGATCATGAATCTTTCATAGGCCAGACAAAAGAGAGAAGAGAATTTCACGAAAGATGGTTAGTCTGTATAAATTCAGTAGCTTCTTCTCTATAGGATTTATGGAGAGGTTTGAGTTCCATTAGTTTTATTCTTATTTATAAAACAGTACGCGGGCGTGATTACAGATTAGTGCTAGGCAATATCTAGTCATTATGTATTTTACAAAGGCACGTTTTATTTCATGTTCGAAGACTTTTGATGGCTTCAAGTATGTAAATTGTTCTTTGACAAAATAATTTGTTTATATGGTCTACGTAAATTTACTGTATCAGATGGGGATGTAAGATTTGCCTAAGAGACAAAATGCGAAATGAATATATCGGTGAAAGGGTTGAAGTAGCTCTAGTGGCAGACAAGATTAGAAAGTCACCTTGGATGGTTTGGTCACAATAAAAGCCGATAATCGGATGACCCAATTAGGAGTAGATGTTTTAGATTAGACTTATGTTGAGAAAGGTTGAGGGAGACCTAGAAAGACATGGGTGTGTTGTATAAAAAATGATCTCAATTTATTGAAGTTAAATCCAAATATGACACTTAATAGGACACAATGGAGAAAATTGATTCATTTAGCCAAGCCCGCTCAGTGTGATAAAAGATTGTCGTTGTTATTTATTTTTTTTGTTTCTGTTGTTGTTGTGGATAGGAATGTAAGACTTGCAGGTCATTTTTGGAAAAAAGTATATGAAAATTGTTTTAGATAAAAGCTGGCTTTCACTTTCTTTTCACCCCACATATTGATGTACTGATAGAATTGAGAATAGGAGAAAATTTTACGATGTTGTCCTATATTGGTACTGGTTTTAGGAATCAAATTTTATTATTACCTGTGACAGAAATTGCTTGTTACAGTTCTGCAGCACCACTATCAAAAAATCAAATCACCTTTTGATACGGTGCATGGGACGCAAATCGGGAATGCCTAGAAAGAAATCACAAGAATATAATAAAGGTAATTATGTGTATGTTCCTTGCATTTCTCTCTTTACGACGCAAGAGCTTCCTGCAGAAACCCCTGCCGCATTCCATGTCTGCCATCTCTGCATGGGAGATCGCAGCTTGGATCACTCTAGGAGGGCTGGTCGACCCTTTGTGGGGATTTCCACCCTATTCGGAGTGGGATCCACTCTTATTTACCTCAAGTCTATAAATATGTTGTTTTCGTATTTTAGGGCAGCTCTTTGTTGGCATTGCTATCCAGACAGCCATCAACTTCCTTATTTTCTGTTAGGTATGACTCATATACCAAATAAGAGACGGATGTTGGAGCGGAACGAAGCTCCCGAGCAGAGTGGAGCGGAAGCATCTATCCAATTGAAAGAGTTTTTCGTCATATGGGTTGCGAGTGTAGGGGCAACGCCCCCGTGGTACGATACATGAGTAATTTTGTAATTATATATTAAACACCAGAGTTATATATATATATATATATTGTATTGTAACCCTATCGAGATCTTGTGCTCTTTCTGAATTGAAGGAAAAACAGCCGCTCTGCTCCCAAGGACGCAGGCATCTTTGCCAAATCTCGTTAAATCTCTCCGTTTTCTTCTAGATTTGTGTCGATTCTTGCTTTTCTTTGCCCTAAAATTCTCAACATTTTCCCTTCTAAAACTGTATCTAAGGATAAGTGGTGCTTCAGCTAGTATCTCATTCCGAGATGGTTACCCGCTCCCAAGGGTTGTATGGCGCTCTAGCTGCCGTCCAACTGCATCTCGTTCCTGCAGGAGTATTTATCCTCGGCATTCTCATCCTCTGCAACCTCCCTTCCGCCGCCGGCATCGCCCTCGCCCTACTTGCTGCAACGTGCCCAAGGACAGCAGCTCTGCTATCTTCTGCAGCCACCAAACCCTCCTCCCTGCCGTCCAACTGCATCTCGTTCCTGCAGGAGTATTTATCCTCGGCAGTCTCATCCTCTGCAACCTCCCTTCCGCCGCCGGCGTCGCCCTCGCCCTCGACCTACTTGCTGCAGCGCGCCCAATGACAGCAGCTCTGCTATCTTCTGCAGCCACCAAGCCCTCCTCCCTGCCTGTCCAACCATTCCTATGGCCCTTATCTCCGCTGCTGCCGTCTTGCGGTCAACCTTTCCACCTTTCCGTTGCAAAACCCAAACAGCCTACCTTTGCGGTTATGGTCAGCCGTTCCTGCTGTCCGTCACTCCCGTCCCTGCCAGCACCCCTATTGTATCAACGGCTGTTCTTTGCTAACACACTTCCATCCTACAAAAACCAGCCACCCTTTCCCACCTCCAATCCAACACTCCAAAAACCAGCCTACCCTTTCCCACCGCCAATCCAGCACCAGAAACCAGCCTACTTTTGCTGCTTTGGTCAGCCGTTCCTGCTGTCCATCACTCCCGTCCCCGCCAGCACCTCTATTGGATCCATGCTGTTCTCTGCTACCCTATTTCCATCCTGCAGAAACCAGCCACCCTTTCCCACCTCCAATCCAACACTCCAGCCGCCCAGAACCTGATGTCCTGTTCTGCCACCCTAACCACAAGCATGCCAAACCCCCATTGCTGCCACTATCAAAGTCCCAACCGCCACCTCCCATCCTAGCATAACTGCCAGACATCACGTTGGCATAAAATCCTAGTTGAGTGAGGTTATGCCCGTTGTTATTATTTCCCTTTTAGAATCAGTTGTAATAGCTTATCGACTTTATGAGTAATAATATTTTTTTGCCTCTTGTCATTTTGGTTAACTTTGGTATCAATTTACCTCTCTCATGTATCTTTAACATATGGTTAATTGTTCGTAGCTTAAGATTTCATTAAATCATTACTTCATAATTTTCAATGAGAATATGCATTATTTCTCCCAGATGTTTTTCCCTCAAATCTCAAACTTCTTTGCACGGTTGTGATGAATAACTATAATGAACTACAAAAGTAAAATGCTCCACAATCTTCACCAATTCATTTTTTATTTATCCTCAACATGAAAATAACTAATTTCAATAGCACTTCTTACAATAAAAAGAAACATGAGAAACGAAACCATGTTGAATCAGAAAGCTCATAATATATAGAAGAATAGAACTTACTCCACCAAAAGAAGTGTGGAAAGGTCCATGAGATGAAACAATGTAAGGCTGAAAGTAGCTCGGTACGGCTGAGTTAGCATTAGGAACGAGTCCAAATTGCTGGAAATAAGCCGGTATAGACAGAGAGAAAAATAAAGAAAGCCCAACAATGATACTGTTCCTTGAACTCCCAGCCTCACTGTAACGTAAGTTCGACAAGCCCAGAGCTGCCAGCATGGCCCACATGAAACAAAGAAGCGCAGCAACCATCACCATTGGAATTGAAGCAATAAAACCGCCAACTTTACCTATGAACAAATATATGACATTATATTGACATAATAAAAGGAGAACAAGCGCATCCATCAAATATCACTAATATTTGCACTTAGTTAACTAAAAGTGGTAACTTACCAATAAAAGAAATAAGAATTAGACAAACAGCACCCAACTGAACAGCTCTTCGGCTACCCATTTTTGTGACAGCAATAGTATGTACATTCTCAGTAAGAGTTGAAGACCCAACTCCTGTTCCCCATAGGCCAGCCAAGATGCTAGAAACGCCTTCTAAACCAATCCCTCTGCTGAGTACGCCAGCTGTAGGTGGTTTAGATGCTACCAACAAAGAAGATGCATGGTATGAACCAACCTAGAAAAAAAAACAATAAAATCATCAGTAAAAACATTAAACAGCTTTAAAAAAACAGAGGCCAGTAATTCACAACTCATATGTGTTAGAATTAATTAAACTAAATATCCAACTTGCCGAGAAGGAAAAATCAATTCAACAACAACCAGCAAATACTAAAATAAAATAAAATAAACACTGAATCCATCAAATAGGTCACTGTTTATGTCTGCAAAAATAACAATACAAGACAAGGCAAGTAGGAACATCGCTGTCAATAGATGCAATAAAATCTCAATTTACCAACATTAAATAAGAAGCTGATTTGAGATACTGGCCTCAATAATTGTAGGATATTTAATTTTTAAAAAATGAATACGAGATGCGTCCCAAATTTTGATTTCTTGATAACAAAATTTATAGTGTATGATGTTTTGCTTAAGGGTGAGGCTGGAGTGGCATTGCGGTGCCGCACCACAGTTTTTCTATTTGACAAATGTGTTTTATCTGCTTTTTTTAAAAACTACAGTTGAAAGTTGTGTTTTGCCACCGGACAGAGCTAAGGGTGCATTTGCTTCAGTTGTTGCTGTACGAGATCTCAGTTCAAAAGTTATTGTTTGTTTTTCCAAAATTGATGTTATACATATTCAGTTTTGAAAGTGTTGTTAGTAAAAAAAATTTCTAAAATAACCCTCATATTTTTTTATCTTTTTAGATTTTTCATGCAAAAAATCAAGTATTAAGTTATTTATTTAACTACTAATTATGAGAGTAAAAAGTTAAGGCACTTAGGATTGTTCGATAAATGTAAACCTAATATAAAGATTTTGAAATTTCAAAATATTTGATTGAAAAAAATAAATGAAAAGTAATTTAAAAAAATTAAAAAAAAACATTATTGATGTATTCCAATTTTATAATTAAGGGCCCGTTTGAGACAGCTTATAGGTGAGGCGTTGTTTTGAAAACGTCGTCGCCGTGTTAGTTTGTCGTGGTGGAGCAGCGTATGTGGAAACCGAGTTTTTAAATTTGCATTACACACGGATCGCGGGTCTATCCCTGCGATCCGCGTTTGGACTCCCAGGTTTTACTCCCTTGCCCTCGAGACAGTCCCGTATCTCCTTTTCGTTCGAAGGATTCTTTCCGAGCACCTCTCCTGCCTCCTTGGCCGAAGTCGCTCCATAAGTAAGGTCTATTCTCCTCCCTGCGCTTGCTCTTCCCTCCTCTCCCTCAGTCCCGCATCTCCTCTTTTGTTTCTCCTGGACGTTCCTTCTGTGGAAATTATCGGTGAATATGGAACAGTTTAGTAGATCCAATTTAGGGATGATGAATATTTATTGTGGAAATGTAGATCCATTTTTTCGGTGAATATGAAGGTGATTTCACTGTTTGGAATTGTTTTTCGCTCTCTTTCTCCTTCAGTTATATTTCTGGATTATAGATCCAAAGGTGATCTCTTAACGTTACAGTTGGATTGTGTTTCATATGCTTGATCTATGATTTTAACTTATTTTTTAACGTATTATATGTTTGATCTATGATTTCAATGAATGTGGGGGATTTCCTTTTGTTGTTGGGCTATGAAAAATTTGAAACATCGTCAATCTTTATCCCGATGTATATGCAGTTTCATATGGCAAGATCTATATGGAGTATTTATCATTTGCTCAGTTTACAGAATTATATGGAAGATCTTCATGCAGTTTTTTTGCAACCCTATATGCAAGCTTAAATAATAGAAGATTTATTTGCTCGGTTAAAAGTTTATCATGAATATATGATCCGAATATTCTTCTCTTTTCCAGTTAGAAGTATAAATTGCAGTTTCTATTTTTCAAAGATCGATTATGGAGATAACTACAGGAGTGATTTTCATTTCTCCATGCATTTCCTCTCTTCCATAAAAATTAGATAATGTAAGCAATTTAATACAACACAAGATAACAATGTCAAATGAAGTCTGAATTGGATGCTTGGGGTTGTTTTGTTTTGACTGCATATGTATTATTAGCTGATGTTTGGGTTGGTTTGGTTCAATTCTTGTTTAGAATTGATTATCTAGTATAAGTTTAGTATTTATTACCAATTGGAATTATGTTTTCGACCATTTTTTATTGTGAATGAGGATTATCAATATTCAATATAGATAATACAGAAGTATAAATTGCAGTTTATATGTTCAAATGACTCATTTCAAATGACTCATCTCAGAATAATTATTATGTTTTCCTTCCAACAAAAATGTTATTGAACATACGATTTTTCTCTTGATCACCATTAATTTCATGCTAGCTTGCCATTAATTTTCTCTTGATCACCATTAATTTCATGCTAGCTTGTTTATCTCACAGTCAAAATAAGTAAATCTAAATAATCTGGATCATCAGCGATGTGGGATAAAGAGACCACCTTGATCTTTTGTGATCTTTGTGCGAGGGAAGTTGAGTTGGGTAATAGACCGACCACCTATTTCAATAAAGAAGAATGACAGAACCTAACCGTTAAATTCAAGGAACTCACCGGAAGGGATTACGATCGGATGAAACTTAAAAACAAATTTGATCAATTAAAAAAAGACTGAAAATTTTGGAAAGAACTCAAAAGAGGATCAACCAGATTGGGTTGGGATCCACTTAAGCGAACAATAGATGCACCAGATGAATGGTGGGCTGAAAAGTTAGCGGTAAATACATACTTAAATTTGTTTTTTGTGTTGATTGCATCTTTCTAAAGATTTTGACTAATTATTTATCTTTTCATATTACAGGTTATGCCGGCTGCAAAAAAATTCAAACTTAGCGGCATTGATCCAGTATATAGGAAAAATTAGATAGCATGTTCATAGGTGTTGTCGTTACCGGAACTCATGTTTTCACCCCAACTGACCAGAGTTTTGTTGGTTTAACACATGACATGGCAATCGAGCATATAGGTGAATCTGGAGAAGGTCCCAACCAACTCCATACAGAGATGTTCACTCAACCATGTCGGTCAACTTTTTCGATAGATATAGATTTATTTGAAAAATATGATATATGAAAATAATTTTTGAGATTTAATTTAAATATAAAAGATATATAGTTTGGGTTTTGAAAGTAGTGTGTTTTAATTTTTGAAAAATGAGACCAAATTGATCTCATTAATCTGATAGTTTGCAAAATCGTGCCTGATACCGCAAATACTACACCTTCCCGAGAGATAAGTGTAGACCTCAGCGATAGACCCAATCCTGCAAACTATGAGATTTGTGACATCCGTTTGGTCTGCGAACCTTTTATATATGACCGACAAATTCCCCTATTTAATACAAAGATTAAATAAGGTTTATTTTATCTGGGTTCCAAGTTCCCTATAGAGGCAAGCCCCTATAGTTAATTACATCCCAAATGACGGGAGTCACTTGAGAAAACTCTCGATAATGATCAATGGTTCTAGTCTTCAAGAATTCAAGGTTCAGGTTTTCAAGGTAGGATGAGGAAAACCAAATGGGAATGGCACAATAAGGAACACTTATTTTCAGGAGTCCAAAGGAAGGAGAAGGTAGGGGATGTCACTGATC